CAAATAAATTTCAAAGCTTATTTCAAATAAATTTATTTCAAATAAATTTCAAAGCTTATTTCAAAATAAATTTATTTCAAATAAATTCCATTGCATTGAAGAAATCCCTTTTAGACATTCCCTTACTTTTAATTAATATTTTAGATTCACAGAAATTGGAATTATTTATTTAGAAATTGAAATCATTTAGATTCACAAAAATTGGATTCAGATTTTAAATCCATAAAAAAGAAAATTCGATATTATCACTGTATTAACAGGAAGAAAATATATTATCAAAAAATTCAGTCCGTTAATTACTGTTAGTTGCTTGCAATTAGCAAAGAATACAGTTACTTAGGAGTAGATTAGATAAGGGGAGGGAGCAATCAACGAACGTTTCTCGTTACTTAATCTTGTGTGATTTAGGTTGTCAAACGTAGATGTTTTGCTGCAGATTCTTCTACTAGTAAATATTTTAATGAGGATTACAGATATGAAGTACTGAAATATTGCTTACATTTCAATTTGGAATTGTTTGGATTTCTCTGGTAAATATCCAGTATAAAGTAATCGTTCACACACGTTGTTTTATATTTAGGAGTGATAGCTAAACATAAACGTTTGCACACTGTCTAAAGCTTTTTGCACATTTCTATGGTACACGTGATATTTAAATTGCATTTTAATTGCATTTATTCAAAATTGTTCATCACACTTCAAAATGTTTTCTTAGCTTGTTAGTATTCAAGTAATTTAGTTTATTAACAATTTATTGATTTCTTTAGCAATTCAAATACTTGCGTTTTTTACTAGGCTTTTGCATATTTACTTTTTACTGTTACTCTTTTACTTTTCTACTGTAACTTCAAATATGTTTGTCAAGCTGACAGTAATTCCTTTTCTGCGTATATATACTGAATATTTCTCTCTTTTCACCATTGTGATATACGCTGAAGTAATTTTTTCACCTCAGACGTGTATCGAAGTGAATTTTTTCTGTCTCACTGACTGATTGAACGTAAAATGAGAATTTGTCTTGCTCAAGTCTTTTAGAGTAAAAATAAAAATAAACATTTGATAGAAATGCTAAAAGCGTAGAGTCCTCCTTCATGCTTAAGGAAGGAAAATCGGTGGTTTGGAGAGAGTGGAAATAATGTATATACGTGTGATGTATTTTGACGATGCCATCTCACATTCCACTGGTTTTTTTTTTTCCAATCCTCCCCTTGTGTTGAAAGCATTACACTACACCCATTCGTAGGATTTTTATGTTTTCTTCGTTTTACTGCTTTGTCCAAAATGCGACCATTTTATGGTGAATAGTTGAAATAGGAGAGAATTCCTATAAAACCTAACGAATTTTTCTTATTTTATACTTGTACATATGAAAGTATGGAACATTCGCAAGTAAGGAATGTTTTTGAATTCACGCAATTCTACTATCATCTTTCAGTTCATATATAATTGCATTAATTGCGAAGAACTAGATTATGTAAATCTAAGTAGTAGTAGTAATGATAGAGTTTCGGTATGAAAATCACCATACGTCATCTTGATAGTATCACCGACTGACAATTGAAGGGTGATTCTTAAGGAAATCCTTAATTGTAAAGAACAACCATTTCCGAATGTTTACGAACTGTAGCAGGTATTTAGCTAGAAAAAAGTTTGAATTTCTGTTTTAGTTTTATTGAAAGTTTTGAGATACTTTCCATTCTAGGTTTATTAATATTTCTAGGATAGTTGTCATTTTTATGGTATGGTCTGGTTGATGTTAAGTGTTCAATAGTTCAAATTTTATTCATCATCTCTATCCGGTAGTCGAAAATTTTGCACTTTTCGCTTCCTTGCAGTCGTTTCATCAATCAGTCATCGTCTACATTCATGTGGTTATTATTTACTATACGGTGGTAGAAAGTACAAAAAAAAAAAAAAAAGGGAGAGAGGAGGACAATGGATAGGTTTTTTCCTGGATGACAAAGTTCCTAGTATGATTCACAAATGTATACATACTGTAAAATATTCTTCCCGAAAATTTCCTCAGAAGTTTAGATCTCGAAGGAAATGGTAATTCTTTGTGGTGTTTGTGAGTAACATTATTCATTTTTTTTATTATTTAAACGTAAAAATATTGGACATAGGGTTGTGAAAGATTGATTCAAAAATGTTTTTTCAAATATTTCTGTCACGTGTATGCTAATTCTTTTTGCCTATGTTGTATTGTTATTCCTGTACTTAGTTGTTATAATTTATTCATGTAACAATTTGTTATATTCAGCGGTGCAGGTTTTGTTAATCTTAACTAGTTTGGGTTATTGGATAAATCACAGTGTTTATGAGTAGATGGCGAAATGTTGTTCCTGTTGTATTTTATAATCTTACTAATTATGAATATAAAAGTTTATACACTGAATGCTAAATCAGTATCCAAGTATTGCTAATGATCATAAGTTTTCTATTTCATGATACTTCTCTATAATCTGTTTGATATTTTAGTATCTTTAAGTGATGTTTTTAAATGGATTTTTCCCATTTGCTCTAGGAACTCGTCCTTCTCACGAGTGGTATGCTTTTTCGACTATGAATTATTATTCAGAGCTATACAATTTGTACATTTTAAAGTGTTGAAATCATTTTTCTTGTTCTGTTTT